GACTGTTGATCTATAGAACTGTAACATGATCTCTCCTTGTTGCTTGAAATCAATGGGTTTATGGTAATGTGCTATGACAGTGATAAGAAATAGATAGACACACATTGGAGGAGACACATGTTTTTGCCCTTTTGCACCTGTAAACTGTTTGTAAATATCTCATGTCTTCATTTGGACCTCCAATTCTGATGTGACGGTTGTAATTGGTCATATTGACTCAAGCACTTGTTTCTATTCATCTTACTATGGCTCTTGAGTGCATACTGACCGCTTTTTTACTGAAGGGTGGAAAGGATAGGCTTCCCCAAGATCTTTAGATAGTTCTTCTCAAGATGTGTCACTTTGGCACGTGGATTATTTCAAGTGGTCTCATAAGAATCTTTTACCATTCCCTTAACTACCTAGAAGAATGAAAATTGGGACTATTACCCAGAATTAGGATTTTTTACCAGAAATAAACTTTCTGTTGGAAAAAATCTATATGTCAGGGCAAATATCTTTGTCATATGCCACCTTCTCCACATCATGTCAACCCCTCCCTCCTTCAATTTTACCCCATTGACTTGAAAATCTTCATCTATGTAGATTCTCCTACTAATCTGTCTCAGGTTAATTTGATTGTTTGACGACCCCAAGAAGAGCCCAGAAGGTTAGGGGGATGTTTCCTGTCTATTCCAGCACTATTAATCTCCCTTGTCTACTGAAGTTATAACAGTCTATTTCATGAAGTGGATGTTTGTGGGTAGTAATTTTCATTCTTTCATTCATCAAACACTGTCTCACTCTTTGCTGCTACAGGGATGACCAGTCTTGCAGACAAATGAGGGGCAAAAAGCAACTGGCCAAAAGTCCTGACTGCAGCAGCTGCTGGTCAGATCCTGACTCACCCTCTCCCTAGCTCTGAGGCTTACCACAGTGCCCTCTTCTTGACAGTGGCTGAGCCGAAGGGTGAGAGTCTGTGGTACTATGATTTTAATAAGAAATGTATTTGGTCTTCATTCTGTTTCTAGCACGGAGCTCCTAAACTCTTGGAATTTCCTAAGTGATGAAAGAGACAAAGGTGTCTTTTGTTATGTTGGCTAGGTGACTTTTGGAAAGCACCTAATAAGGATGGGGACTGGTTATCAGGAAAACTAACCATCTGATTGGAGGATTAAAACTTTCAGTCCCACCGCCAGGACTCCAGGGAGGGGTGAGAGGCTTGAAGTTCAACAGCCAAAGGCCAATGACTCAATTGTGCCTAAGTAACGAGGCCCTCATAAAAATCCTAAAAGGACAAGTTCAGAGATAATCACAGTTGGTGAACACATGGAGATTTGGGGAGAGTGGCAAGCCTGGAGAGGGCATGGAAGCTCCATGCCCTTTTCCCATACCTTGCCCTATGTGTCTCTTCCAGTTGGTGTTTCCTCAGTTATATCCTTTTATAATAAACTGGTAATCTGGTGAACAAAATGCTTCTCTAGGTTCCATGAGCCTCTCTAGCAACTAATTGGACTGAAGAAGGGGTCACTAAACCTCCAATCTATAACTGATTGGTCAGAAGCACAAGTAACAACTTAAAACTGGCAGCTGTGTAGGGACAGTCTCATGAGATTCAACACTTACCCAGTAGGATATGATGCTCATTCCAGGTACATAGTTCAGAATTGAGTTACACTGTAGGATACATAGCTGGTACTGAAGAATTGCTTGGTGTGGGGGAAACTCCGCAGAGTTATATTTGTGCATTACTCTGAATTGCACCTTGTGTGTGGTGTGTGCTTGCTGCAGTGGCTGGCCAACTCAGATGGATTTTTGGCATTGTGCTAGTGATCCCTGGGACACACCTATCAACCCATTTGGCAGGTAGGTAAAGAAGCTGCAGGTGGGAAATGCTGGCCCACACCTAACCTAGAATGAGGCAGACCCAGAGCTGCTTCAATACTAACAAGTAATACCAGTAAGGAATTCTGGTTTAAAAGCACAGTGTTTGCTGGTGGACTGGGAACTCTAAGGTGGAGTTATATCTGGTATGGCCTTTAGAATTGCCAGGGTCTCTCAGGTCATTTCAGAAGGGTCGTTGGGCAAGAAACAAGGTTGAGTGGCAGGTCTGTCATGTCACTGTACTTTCCTCCCTGTTTGAGTAAAGCATGAAGTTCCTGTACCTTTCTGGTTCAAAGCTGGCCCAATCTCCAGGTCTCACCCAACTTCTATTTCTTGGGAGAAACATCCCTGCTGCAGTGGCCTCCTCTGGCTTTTCAGGCCACTGTGAGAAAATCCCCAAACACTACCTCCCAAGTGTGTCACTCAACTCACCAAAGGACAGTGTCACCCTGGGAGGAGGCATTACATTACTGAAATCTGCCCCAGCCTTACCTCCTGCTGAGCTTTCCCTTCTGATTCCTGCCCCACAGGGATACTGAGTGCCACAGAGAAGGAAAGTTTTTTGAACTTACTATTTGGAGGCAATTCCCATGCTAGTACAGGATGTTTGGGAAGGGAGAAATAATGCCACCATGGAAAAGGATGATTAGTCTCTGGCATTTGCTTTGGACTGGACGGTCTAGATAACCTTATCCCTAAAAACAGCCCTGCAGAGCAGAGGGACAGCAGGGGATGGGGCATGGGGACCCATCTCTCTGCTGCCCAAGGGCATGACTGTAACTGGTAGTTCCTCCCCCAGAAGTAGCAACCCCATTGGATATTCCAAAATTCTGGCTCCCCAGCATATCCTGTCAGGTGGCCCCCTGCCTAGACCTCTGAACCAGTTGGCTAATGAATCCACGGTGTAAGCTAAGCCAAAAACAAAGTTTGTTTTTAATATGATGTCTATGTTTTCAAGTCCCAAAGACTACTGGTTCTGGGAAGGACTGTGTCACTGTGTGACTTTGGGAAGGTCCAGGGCTGTCCTGACAGGCCAGGGCTTTATGACTTCAAGTCCTTTATTACTTGCTCATTTACAGCATCCTTCTCATTTTGTTTTCCAGTGGCCATTTCTCTGGAGGGAGGAGGTGAGGGTATGATCTCTGCTAAAAGAAAGGAGCCCTGATCAGTGGCACATTTCACAAGGTGCCAGGTGCACTGTGTCACCAGTGGGTGATGGATAGGGGGTGATAGGCAGGGCCAGGCTGGCTGAGGCACCAAGAAGGGACAGCAGAATTGTTGGCCAACAGTTGCCTCCTCCTGACTTCCTCATCACTTTTGTGTTTGTGCAGGTTTCCCCTGCCATCCTAATGCACAAAGTTCCTGTTTGATTTGGTAGTCTGTTTTTGGGTCTGGAAATATGAAAAAAAAGATTTCCATATAAATTGATGGTAGCAGCATTCCCAGGCCCACAAAGTAACCAACCAAATCATACGAAATAGGAATGTTCTACTTTTCATAGCAGGGGACACCTGTATTTGTTTTATTATAAATAGCTGCAGTTGAGGAAGATCATCCAAATTGCAAAGAGAAGAAGTTAAATTTGCCCTGTGCCACTCCAACATCTCCCTGGGAGTTACTGCCCTCCAACACTTCTGTTTCCAGTCCTTTCTATAGTTACTTCCATAACTCTAAAGTGCACACTCCATGTCTTGATTTCTTTCTTTTTTTTTTTTTTAAGATTTATTTTATTTATACAAGTCCTGGGTACAGGCTAGATGCGCAGGAGGGTGAGAAGATTCACCAGAGACAGAGCAGGGAGCAGAACAGGCAGACTGACTAAATACACGCTGAGGGAAGCAGCGGGCGAGACAGCAGAGGTCTGCTCGCCATGTGGGTTACTCCGAGGCTGGCAGGGATCGAGCTGGCACTGCAGAGGCTGCGGACAGCTTCCCAGTGCTGCGCTCAACCCGCCGTGCCACCAGGGGAGGCTCTCCATGTCTTGATTTCTTAACAGTAAACAGTTTCTTTTAGCTCTGTTCTATGAAAATAATGAAAAGAACACATTTATAAGACCTCTCCACATCTCAACCTCTCAACTTGTTTGTTATTACTCTTAGTTTTCAAATCCAATGTTCAGAGCCCCTGCCTAAAATCTAAATTCTCAGGCCCTGGAAGAATGACCAGAATTTGTGATGGGACCTAGGAATATGTATCTATAATCACAAAGTCATATAAATCATATAACCATATAATCGACTCTAATTCTCAGGGACATTACAGTTAGATAAATATATCTTAAAGCTTACATTTATAATTAGATACAACTCTTTTCAGTAGCAATGCTTTTTTCTGCCTTATCAGAAATCTAACTAAGGAGTAATGTAGCACAATGGAGGCATAAGGACCTCCATATTCCACCCCTTTCTAAAAGCAGCGAGGATATGAGCAAAAACATGAGGATCAACTTTTTTTTGGAAGTTTGAAAATCAACCAAAGGCTTGTAGCAAAGTAGGGTAAACTTATTCTAGAGAAATGACTTGTTGCCAGTAAAAAATAAAGACTGAAATCTTCTCAAATTTGATCATTTTGAGTCAGTAGTAGAAAAACTTTTAACAAAGGAAAACCAAGGATCAGATGGTTTTATTAGTGAGAGCTATCAAATGCTTAAAGAATTAATACCAATCCTTCTCAAGAAACTTCCAAAAAATAGAAGTGGGAAAACTTCCTAAATTGTGTTATCAAGCCATTGTTAGTCTGATACTGAAGACAAAGACATCATAAGAGAAATATAGGTCAATATCCTTTATGAATATAGATGCAAGAATCCTCAACTAAATGGTACCAAACTGAATCCAGCACCATATGAGAAGGAATTATATACCATGACCAGGTGGGATTTATCCCAGGAATTCAAGGTGGGTTTAGTATAGAAAAATCATTATAATATATTATATTAATAGAATAAGTGGGGGCAGGGCAACATATGATCATCTCAATAACCACAGAAAAAGCATTTGATAAAGTCAAACACCCTTTCAAAATAAGAACATACAACAAAGTACCAAAAGAAAGGGACTTCCTCAATTTGATAAAGGGCATCTGAAAGACTGGATACATCCCCACTAAGGTTTTTAAGAATAAGAAAGGAGACCTACCTCTTACCGCTTCTATTTAACATTGTCCTGGGGATTCTAAGCAAGCAAATAGACAAGAAAAAGAAATAAAGGCATTCATATTGGAAAGGAAGAAGTAAAACTACCTCTATTTGCACATTATATAATCTTAGAACACCCTAAAGAAACTACCAAAAAAAACCCTAGTAGAGGGGCCTCCCTGGTGGCGCAAGGGGTTAACTCTCAGCACTACGAAGCTATCAACAGCCAAGCTATCAGCTGAAGCATGAGTTCCATCCCCGACCAGGGAGCTAACCCACATGGCACAGCAGACCTCTCCTGTCTCGCCCACTGCTCCCCTCAGCAGTGTATTTCAGTCAGTCTGCCTGTTCTGTTCCCCACTCTGTCTCTGGTGAACCCTCTCACCCCCCACACCTCTAGCTTACACCCCAACTCTTGTATGCATAAATAAATAAATCTTAAAAAAAAAAACCTAGTAGAGCTAATAAGTGAAGTCTGGCTGCATCTCCTTCTGTGCTTCTAAAACTCTTAAAAGTCTTTCAAAATTTGAGTTTCACTGATGAAATTCTTTATTATTTTCTATATTGCTATGGTTTTTTTAAGTTTTCGATATCTTAACTGTTAGATTCAACAGTACACGCTGCAATGGAAGGGAGGGGAACACAAGGGTAGGATGTGCCAACACTCTTGAGCTTGCATCTCTGTCCAGGATCTCTCTCTCACTTCATCTCTCTGATCCTGAGTTCTGACCTCAGAACTCAGCACAAAGCACAGATGTCTCTTCCCTTGGGAATAGAAGGCCTGTGTTTTGCTGAGTCAGTGGCACCTTTCCTGGCAGCTAGATATGGCCAAATGACAATTATTAAATGGCGGCTTCTAGGAAAGGTTAACATCTTGGAAAGCTGGGCTCTGGATTTTGTTCCCAAAAAACATCTCTTCTGCACCCCACCCAGCAGCACAGACCCTCCTGTTGTCAGCTATGTGTCCCCTTTCCCACCCCAACACTGCCAGCCAAAGTTTGTTACTTCTCCTGCTCCCTGCTCAGGGTCTTTCATTGTCAGGACGGCCTGTTCCCACCCTCAGCCTGGTGAAGTCCTTACTTATTTCTCCAAACCCATATTAGGGCATCTTTTCACAACCTCCTAGCCTCCCAGGTAGGTGATAGTGACCTCTCTGACTGGCCCTTTCTAACCCCTTGCTACTCAGTCACTGGAGTCTGGAGTGAGAGCTGAAGGCCGTCTGAGGCAGCATGCTGAGCATTATGTACATTGGCTAGGCCAGCATGTGCTGCTGGGGTCAGACCAACTGAACCCCCTGGCTCTGAAGAGAAAGGGTGTCTGCAGGAAGCAAACAAGGGCAGCCAAGAGGCGAATTCACACAAGAGCATCCCAGAGGTGAGTTCAGGTCCTGCCAGCCTACGCTATGCAGGCAGGCAGCCACCTCCTCCAATCCTGGGAAGGACTGTAAGCTTGGAGAGCGTCACCAGGTCCTTGGAGTGGTCAGCCTCGTCCTGGATGTCCAACTGTGACTCACTCCTTGTTTGGAGTGAGTCCAAATACTGGCCTGGGTACCAAGTCTTGAGGGCTTGACAAAGGCAGGGGGAGTACAGATACGGTCTGAGAACGGCTCCTGGGAACAGTGTGGGTGCCCAATCTGTGTTTATAGCAGTTTCCTGCTCCTGGCTTTCCATCTGGCAAGCTGGGTGTGGCCACCATTTGAGGAGGTTGGGAGTGGGGGGAGATCCTCTCTGGGTGGACCCTGCATACCAGCCCTGAGTGTTTCCAAACAATCACAGGGCACAGGCAACAATAGCATGGAAGCTGGCAGCAGGTGACAAGGTTAAAACATTTTAAGATTTCAGTATTGCATAGGAAAAGGGCAAAGATTCATTTTGGAGGTCATTACCTTTAGAGCATGACCGCTGAAATAGATGCAGAAAGTATAATTTTGAAACAAGTAAAAGGGGAAGATGGAATAAGAAAAAGACAAAAAAAAACACAAAAAACCCACAAATCCAAAAGACGGAAAGGAGAATGGGCAGGGGGAGCTGGACCTAAGCTGATGCTAATAAACCTAAATATACTTATAATCACAGGGAATGTGAAGGTGTAGAGGCAACAAATACTCCAGATAAAGAAAACAGATTATCACATTGTATGAAAAATATTCCAGCTTTCTGCAATTACATGAGGCCCTCCTAAAACAAAGATATAAAATACTGAAGATCAAGAGAGAGAAAGGCACACCACACAAAGACTAAGCAAAAGTAAACTTGTAAGCTGTGTCAATACCAGATGAAATTCAGTTTAAGACAGCAAAGCACTATGTTGACTTGATGGAACTACAAATACAAAGCCAAGCTTCTGGTAACATTAACCAGAAAAGAAGAGGCAAATAGAAAACATTTAGGGGGAAAAAAAGGAGATTTAACAATTAATGCTCCTCTGGGTGAACAGGAAAATAAGAAGCTATTAATCAACTTTGTGTCAACAAATTTGAAAAAGGATGAACTGGATAATTTATTATAAAAAGTTTTTTGAATGGAATCTGTGATATTGTGATTTATAAAGAATATCTATTTTGGCCATTCTGATGATCAAAGTATATTTCTAATATATATTTGGTCTTCTACAGTTCCTGGTTCGCAGTTCCCCTTGGAATATGTTAATAGTGTCAAAACTGTCTTTGCTACCTTAATGAAGATAACTTTGGAAATCACTAAGGATAGGTACTGAATACCATGGAAACCAACTGGAATAAAGGGTTGGAACTTCCAGTTCCACCTCCCTAACCTCTGGAGGGGAGAGAGGGGTTTGAAGTGGAATCAATTTCCAGTGGCCAATGACTTAATCATGTCTATGCAATAGAGCCTCCATAAAAGTCTAAGACTCCAGAGAGCTTCCAGTTTGGTAAACATGTGAAGATTCTGGGTAGAAAGGCCCAGAAGAGGACATGGAAGCTCCTTCTATGTATCTCTTCCATCTGGCTGTTGATTCATATCTTTTGGTATCTTTTGTAATGAATTTGTGGTATTTATCTGATTTGAGTGAGTAAATGGGTTTCATGAATTCTGTCTACCACTCCAGAAATTTAATCAAACTTCAGGAGGGTGTACTGGGAAACTGATTTATAGCCAGTTGGTCCAAAGCTCAGATAGTAATCAGGGCTTGCAGCAGGCACCTAAAATCTGAGAAGGGGTCATGGGGACCTCTGATCTATAGCTGATTGGTGAGAAGCACAAGCTTCCCTGGGGCCTAATGCCTACATTTGAAGTAGAGGTCAGTCTTAAGAGACTTATTACCAACTTCCTAAATAGGAACGACCATTGCCTGGTGATTGAAAGGTCTATAAAACAGATCTTTATTATCTGACCAGACAATGGAGGAAGGGGAAATGAATAAGTTCCCCCAAACTATGAAGGTAATTGGACTCTGAAGAATGAAGTAGGCAAATCCATTTATCACACTTAAACTTTTACTAACAGCAAATTATATACAGGGGTCCTCAGTACCAAAACCTGTGGGCTCCACCTTGACAGAGGGCTTTTTTTTTTCTCTTTAAATATTTATTTATTTATGCATACAAGAACTGGGGTACAGCCAGAGGTGGGGGGGGGGGTGACAGAATTCACCAGAGACAGAGTGGGGAACAGAAAAGGCAGACTGACTGCTGACGGGAACAGTGGGCGAGCTAGGAGAGGTTGGCTGCACCTGTGGGTAGCTCCCTGGCAGGGGATCAAACTTGTGCTGCAGTGGCTGCGGATAGCTTCATAGGCTGTGTCTTAACCCCTTTTGCCACCAGGGAGGCCCCTGACAGAGGTCTTCTATACTCTGCTTAGTATGTGCGATCATTCTTGTATAAGGCTAATAAACCTAGTAAGTAGCAGGAAGAAAATCTATTTTCTTTCCTCTCTCTCTCTCTCTCTCTCTCTCTCTCTGCCATTGTACTTATTGTTCATTAAACATTTGTTAGCAGCTACCAGTGAAGCCAGACTTTCCTTTGTTGAGAGTTTTTCATGGTTACTAATTCAATCTCTTTACTTGTCACAGATTTAGTCAAGTTTCATATATCTTCTTGCTCGGGTTTAATAGTTTGTATTTTGGAATTTGTCTTCATAATTTATCTAATTTTTTGGCATACAATTGCTCATAGTATTCCCTTATCATCACTTTCATTATTAGCAAGATATCATTATCTTTCTTTCCTAACTTCAGCAATTTGAGTCTTCTCTCTTTTTGGGGGTCAATTTAACTAAAATTTGTCAGTTTTGCTCATTTTTCAAAGATTCACCTTTTACTTTTATTCATTTTGGATTTCTTTTTATGGCCCAGTTTATGATCTTTCTTAGCATAAGTTCATTGGACATTTGAAAAGCATGTGTATTCTGCAAGGCAGTGTTCTAGAAATATTGGCTAGATCTTATTGTTTAAAAATGTTGTTGAGTCCTATCCTTCTGATTTTCTACCTTTTGTTCTATCAATTGTTGAGAGAAGAGTGTTGCAACTTCAGTTATAGTTGTGTATTTGTCTATTTTTCCATTTAGTTTTTAATTTATTTTTCCATCACATTTTCCAGCTTTGTTGTTAGGTGCATACATTTAGGATTACTGTGTCTTGTAGGTAGATTTACGCTGTTATCACTAGATAATATCTGGTTAGATGTCCCTGACAACTTTTTATTAATATAATTTATTTATTTATATATATTTACATCAATGCTCATTTTTTTTATAATGTTTGCTTTCTCCTCTCAGGTGTAGTCCCCATAGAATTCTCACCATCAATTCACCCGTGCATCATCGCCATAGTTCCCTATGCTCTTCCCTCCCCTGTTCTAATCCTTCTCCTTTCTCCTCCCCCACAGAATGTCTCTTATTTATAGTTGCCTGCCAATTTTTTTGTTATTATTTTCCCCTGATCCCTTAATTTGGTTCCCCTATATTCCTCCTATAAATGAAACCACCCAATATTTTTCTTTTTTCTTCTGATATTTCATTGAGCATAATCCCTTCTAGTTTCATCCATGTTGCTGAGAATGGGATGAGTTTATCTTTTTTG